CTCTTGCGAGACGAGACTGGCATGAAGTATTATCCTGTTTTGCAACCACTCGAGAACCCTCTCCCTAAGTGGACCATTCTCACAGTTAGTATACACAATAATGCATCGGTAAGCGTAGTTACACTGATCAACGATCGCGTCAATCAATTATGCACTGCACAGACAAGCCCAATATAACACATCTTGCAGACAAGACCAGCCAAATGCTTTATTACAGGCAAGAGCAACACGTGTAGAGAGGCTATAATGATCATAGGCCCCTATAAACGAAACCAGCAGCCACTAAATTCAGTGAAATCGGCATCTCTGCCAACCAATTTAGCATGAAAATGGCTTCTATACCTCTACCAGGGCTATTAAACACTATCCACAGTCATTTCCGTTTTATGACCAATATACCCTATAGCTACTCAAGCGTACTTTTAAATATAATACTGGTTTCAAAAAGAAATACAACACAGTAAGCTGTGAATAGTTCGAAAACACTTGATCGAATTTAACCATGTTTTGATCAAACAAATATTTGTTGATTGCTTATACTACTCAGTGGAAATAATGTTAGACACGCAAAGTTCTATTTAAAACTATCCAAATAATCAAATTTAAGAGATTATATCTGATAATGATGAAAAGCAAGTAAAAAAAAGTATGCACGGTTAAGAATTAACCAAATATATTTGAGAATGTCACACAAAAATATATATCACATTTGTAGACGAGACATAATCAATCATTTTTATCCTCACAGGCAATAAAAGCAGTCTTAGAAAATGCTTCTTAAATTAAGAGTAGTAATTTAAACTCATACTTTCTGTCTGTTAATATACGATTGCTTTAATATTAATAAAAAAGCTCAAAAAACAAATGGTCATTTGTGTAAGAAAAGATGGCGAAAACTGAAAGCATGGAATCATGAATACCACGTCAGTTTAGTGCCTGACCTCTTACTGGTTGAATATTGAAAGCCTAGCTTCTAATTAATATATGTGTGTAAAACGTGGGCACTGTGGTAGTATGTAATTTGTTTGTTAATTTGTTTATTAGATATAGTATACAGAATGAAACGGTATTGTTTGCCAGATGACGCTGTGAACACAATTTATTGTTCATAATCACATCAGTTACAACAACACAACTTCGAAACTTTCGTCTTATAGTTTTCTTTATTCTCTCCTATTCGTCGTAGTGGTATTAGAATTTTCTAGATCTTCGGGACAGGTTTCGAATCATCTCTATTGTACGTATTTGCAGCTGATTCGATAAATAAAGCTTCCGTTGCCATCAATCTCTCCCTCCACCCTATTACAACATATACTGCATGGTTGTGTGTAATTACATGTAGCGTTTGCTATAGATGAACTATTCTCCAGGCTTCTTATCTTATTCGGGTCAACTAATCTAGATTTTGCTAGGTTTTTGTGCTCCACTAGTCTGACCGACCCTGTTCTACTACGTTGACCTATGCATTTGACCTAACAATCATTGCAGGCAGGGTATTAGATGAACTAAATTGTTTTGATCAATTGGCTCCACATGACTGATCCTTTAACCCCCAAAGCTTGTTACTAATTGAGTTTGTGGGTAACTGAATGCCATTATTATTCCAGCATTGTTAAGAATTCTACATAAGGTTTGAGAGGTTCCTTCTTTGTATGGAAGTACTACTGATGATTTATATTCCCTAACTTCTAATTCTAACAGATTTTAACTTCATAGAAGAATGCTTATCACTAGTGTTGATAACTGTTAATCGTTTGATGATCTTGCAGTTGACCCACAGTAAAGAGAAGAGCTACTTTCATCTTATTATATCATCTGTAGGATGAAGGTAGTTGCTCAGAGTTATGCTTATTGGCTGGATCTAAATGAAGAACTGGAATACGTACCCCATGGTTGTAGCAAGTGGGCAGATAAATTACAGTCATTGGACGTGCATATTTGCAAATTCCCATTCGAAGAAACACAACTCCTTGTAATGACTGATGCACTTCCAAAATGGTCAGAAGTTTTCAGCATGGAGGATACTTCCGCGATGGCTGGAATTCCTAAACTTAGAGAGGTATTCTGCTATTTTGCATAAGGTGATATAAGTGTAACAGGTAATAGTACTCAGTTTACATCAAGTCATTTTCAGCAGTTTTGTCGAAATAATAGCAACCAGCATATTCCTTTCTCCACTGGAGTATCTGCAGTAGAAAGATAGAGCTGAACGCCTTATTGATTCGCTTTACAGAACCACAGCGAGTAGAAGAGATGAAAGGAAGGGCAGATAAAAGTAATTAAGGTGTTTCTTTTGAACTACTGATCAATAGTGAACTCATCAACTATAAATGAATTATCATCCGCTGAAAATGTTTTCGTAATATACTGGATGAACTACTCCACAAAGATGAAAACACAACATAATGGGGTGAAACTGTGATACCTTTCAATTGGTGAGTCTGTGTGGGTCCGCAACATTTGAAATTCCTAACCAAAATGGACCATTTAAGTCATCAGAAAGAAAATGGGGCAGTTGCTAAAATGCTGTGATCATAACATATGAACCAAATCAAAAAACGCGGGGGTTCAGATGACGTCACCAACCAGTATCTTCAAGTAGTCCCTGAATGGAAAATTTACTAATAAGACTAGAGTTGTTACGAGAGGTGGAGATAAATTATCACTCAGTATTTACGTGACCTGTAAAATAGACGTTTGACCCTAAATGTAAAATTAGTCGTAAATTCTAACACTTTTTTCCATGGAGCAATAAATCTCGGTCATTTCGCCCAGTCTTCTAGCAGTTTCTCACTGTGGAAATAGTATTCAAGTGATAAGCCGTGTATTGTTGTGTGTTGAAGTACCAATAAGAACGAAGCCGAATACAGTATCATATCACCATTATAGCAGTTTGCCCAGGTACAAGTTAATCAAGCTACACACTGCAAACTCATAAGTCAAACAACGCATAATACTAAAATTCAGTGATCCCTCTTAGCATAACTCGGTATTAGTGTTAGAATAATATGCAGACTGACTGACTTGTTTCAACATAGACCTTTGCACAAATGTGCAGCAGTTTGAGTTACTACACTCCATGGAGCACACAAAGTAAGAGAAGAGAGTAAAGAGAGATTCAAAAGAGAGAAAATAAACAGAAGTGCGAGGAAAAAGAATAGTAATATGTAAGGAACAGTAGATTTTTATTGAATATGACAAATCACAAAGAGTGAATGCATCTACGCCAGCCATCAAGAAAGATTTTGAGCCATATCATAGTGTCAGACGCTCGCACATCACTGTCGGTGAAGTCGCGATGTCTTCTCTTAAGCATTAAAAAGAAAAAAACCAATTTTTTCCAGCCAGTACTTTTTTACCATCCCGAGGACAGCTTCCTACGTGGCTTACAGTAACTGTTTGTTTCGTTTGACCACCACTAACTCTTTTCCAACCTGATCCTATGTCAGCTCGCATCACACGTCAAGGAAGGCGATACCTAGGCATGCGCAACACATGCCCTAACCATCTCAGTCTCTGTAACTTCACAACCACAGTGACTGATTTCCACTGCCGACCTAGCACTCTAAACCTAACCTCAATAATACTCACACATTATACCTCTTAATACAGCTAACCTTTTCATATCTTCCACTTTCAGCCATTAAAGAGGACGGGGCTAACTGCTGAGCAGTACATACGTCTTTTGGTCGATAGCCGGATATCACGCCCACGCCAGAGATGGCATAAATTATTGGCATATGCCAAACGAACATTTCCTCATCCATGTTGTAATTTCATCAGCAATCAACCCGTTGGGTCTGATGCAGCTCCCCAAATAAGGGAAATGGTCAACACGCTCTATCACATCACTCCCTATCTTTCAGCTAGGAGTCTATGTAGTTCATTCCCGTAGCATCATCTTACTCGAATCTGACAGGGGCCAGTTGCATGCCGAAAATTCTCAGATTGCTGCTCCTCAAGGTATTCAGAAAACTACGCATTTTGTCAGTGTCTTCACCTAGGAGGAAGGGTACTATATCATCTTCATATTCTAAGTCAACGAGAATATTATTCCCTGGTAACAAGTCAATCCCTGAGTCACTGAAGTCAGTTACAGTTAAGTCCATTAGTACATCCGTGATGAAATTAAACAGAAATGGAGAAACTGCGCATCCCTGATGGACACCACTAATTTTCACCACTTCAGATAACAACTCTCCATAGTCTCTCGCCTGTCTGACTGCATGAGTTCCAGTAGAGTGTCTTGATCACTGCGATGTATTTTCTCGGAATTCCCTTCACAGCCAAACATCGCCAGAGTACTTGTCGAACGGTGGAATCAAATGCCAATTTCAGGTCAAGAAATATAACGATTGCTGGACGCCGGCAAGTATGCCTATGTCCCAGAATCTGTCGGAGGGTGAAGATATGATCAATACACCCTTTTCCTGGTCTAAAGCCTGCCTCGTTCTCTCGTGTTCGTTCCTCCCGTGGACCGCTTAGTCTACGCATTATTATTGAGCGTAGAACTTTAGATACCATATTAGTCAAGCTAATCCCCCTGTGATTATCACAGGAAGACTCGTCTCCCTTCTTGTAAATCGGGATAAACAATGACTTACACCAGCACAACGAGATTACCTCTGATTACCAAACGCTGCCTAGTACCTTAGTTAATGCAGACAGTAAACTGTCTCCACCGTCCTTGAACACCTCTGCAATTATCTCATCAGGTCCCGTAGCTTTGCCTAGTTTCAGACTACTGACAGCTTCTGTAACCTCAGTTAAGGACAGAGGATCTGTGTTTGTATCCCATTCAGGGAGGTTTTGGATGCTGGGTAAGTTGAGCGTGGCTTTAGGCCGATTTAAATTCTCCTCAAAGTGTTTTTTCCAATGTTCCAGTCGTCTATCCTGAGAGCTAATTATGGTGCAACTTTTCTCGGAGCTTTTTTCACATCATTTGCCATATGCAGAGGTCAAAACAACTGAATAAGTGACACAAATACTGATCAACTTACATGCGTTTTTGTTCCTGACTGAATATACAATCGTGTTCGTGGTCTTGAATCAATTAGTTTAATTTCAGGCTTTAAATTACTTTCATTACCATCATTCAACAGAGTATTTGTCTGTTGTTCTTGCTGTTTACTAATATGTCTAATTCGATTTTTATGACTATTTTTAACTGAGCGAAATGAATTTCCCTTAAATGGATAATTGGCTTGTTTATGTGTTTGTGCATTGTAATTATTGTTATTAGTTGAATTTACCATAGTAGTGGTATTATCGCCGGTTTTGTTATTATTATTCTGAGTATTATCACACTGGTCATAATTTGATGAACAAAACTTATTTGATGAACTGTTCTCATAGGAGTTGGTACATTCAACTGTAGTCTATAAAAAGAAATAAAAAGAAAACAAAGGGAATTAATCAATAAATTGTAAAATTAAATAGGACAAAACAGTTCTTCTCTAAAGAGATATTATCCTATTTTTTTGGAATGGTGAGCTTATGTACTTCATTCCTTGCATTCACAGTGAAACATTAATCTTCAGAAGCACGTTTTGATTCCACACAGTTGTTTAATGACAATTTCACCTGGATCCACGTCTTTCAAGCATGCTGTCAGACGACCTCCACAACATCAAAACCTCAGAACTTCAATCTATCACTCGTCACATGTGTTCCATGCGAGAGTCTACTCTAAGCATCTCACGTCCATATCCATTTCATTCTATATATTTTTTAGGCAGCATGTTTTTGACGGATTCACTTGTAAACTACCATGTTCCCTATGCTTTCAAGCCACCCATCTGATAGTCAGCATCTAGCAAAGACGGATACTGATAAAGTTTTTCCAGACCATTAGAACCGCTTTAGGTGACGCGCGTGCCAAATCTCCAAACTATCCGGAAGCGCTGGTGTGACATTAATGTTTGAAATTCGAATCGTTTACCTTCCGATAAGTTCTGTAGACCTCTACATTGATTCCAGAGTAATAACCATCTATGTTGATTCCCTGAGCCTATGTCTGACATTCTCATCCATGCTTTTTGTATTTAAAACGATGCCACTTGAGCCAAGTAAATCAAAGATATTCAGGTCATGAGGTTTGTGGGGATTATGGATCAACTTCAGTTATTGAACTTTCGTCAAGAATCAACAAGAGTTTCAGAGATCACTGAACAACTATTCCAGGTTACTTAAGTACTCATCATCAGTGAATACTCACTATCTCATGAGCGACAGAACCTAAAACCCTCAGGTTAAGAGGCCGAGCTCGTCTATTATTCAGCTACTTGGGCTGGAATTCAATTACGTGTGAATTCCTATTTTGTCACCCTTTTATATAATGCTCTCCTTCGCCACCAAAGCATTGTATGAGCATTCTCTTGTTCTTCACATGGTGTACCCTTGGTAATTGAACATTTCAACGATTCTGGAGATAATCTTACGAATTTCTTACTGTAATTAGCATAACCAATGTGAACAATTGCTTCTTTTACTACATGAAGATTGTTGAAATGAATAGTTATTTAAGAAGCCTGAGTCGAAGTTTCATTACATATCCAAGGGAAGTTTGTGCTGTACATCAGATCATCAGCAGACATCATCAGACATGATCACTAAAAGTGGAAGATTTGAAAATGCTAGCTGTTTTTCTCTGCAAAAATCTGCATTCTGTCTCCTTTGTTTAATGGTATAATATAGTGAACCATAACGAGGTAAGGTATAGAATATAAGGACGTAAGTAGGGTAAATCAATCACTAAGGTTGTGTTGCACATTCTAAATCACCGCCTTCATCAATAATTAGTGTTAGCTGACACAGGATTGAATTGGAAAGGAGATAGGGATATTCAACAAAGCCTCTGACTTTTGGTGTGAGCTGCATAGAGATTAGGATTCCAGGGAGTCTAAGAATCAACGTCTGAAGAGTATTAGTGGTATGGCTTTAAATTGTTCCCGATAGCACAGATGCATTCACTCTGTTACCTCCCATATCCATTCAACACTCATGCTTTTCCATGCTATCATTCCTTCTCTCTCCCTTCCATTTCTGCTTATTATAGTTCCTTTTAATCTCTTTTGTCTACCACTGTGTCCTTCATGCACTGAGGTGACTTATTCTACTGCTTTCCTTCTGTACAAAGTTCTCAATATGTTAGCTAGACAGAAATAGAATGGAAATATACCAAATTCACAATTTGCAGCTTACACACTTCATCACAGTTTCCTTTGGAAACCGAAATACTTCTGATCATAATGCCTGATCTACTTGATACCATAAATGGTAATCAAGAAGGCAAGCATAAATGCATGACATAATATACTACTGAATGGACGAAATGAGTAGTTATTTAATTGAATTTTAGATTTTCCCGTCGATTGATTGGATCGAAGTGCTCGGTCTCAGGTTGACATGTCGGCTTTACTCACTGAGGAATGCAGGTACAGCCAGGACGAAATGAGCATCCCGGATTCCACTGCTAGTCACTATCCATCAATTAACCTCAAAATGAGTAGCTGTTTGCAAAACCATATCAACTAGTAGTGCTTGCTAGCCAGATTGAAGTGATCTAACCGCCGGACGTCAGTTTCAATCCTTTGGAGTAAGGCTAATCAGCGGTTTACTTGGCTCGACTCAGCTCAAACAACCAAATCAATTCACTTCGAAATGCGTAAATTGCAACAAAAAGAAATTCGCGAATTTTGAATCTAACTCATGGAATTGACAAGCAGTTCAGCTAAGTGGTTAGCCAGAAATCAGGTGGTTTCAACTGCCTTGGCTTTCTTAGCTGAGTCAAACCTTAGTGGTGTACCGGTGTTGAGCTCAACCCTAAACAGGCGACAAAAAAAGGCAGTGCAATGTTTAGATCACTTTGGTCTGGCTGGTTAGCAAACACTACTACTGGTTGTGATTCGACTGGTACACAACTACTCATCTCAATCAATCAATCAGTCGGCGGTATATAGTTTCAAGCAAAGAACAGTAAATACGCCTTGAGTTTTTTTATTGCTTGCATTTAAGTAGTATCTAGTGTTGTGTTAGTGTATAAATCAGTAGCTCAAGTAGATACAACACACACAGCAGTAAAGAAGCCTGCCTTCAATAAATTATTGGCATTAGGCATAAAATGCACATAAATATTTCAAAAAATATCTTCTGTTCTCACACGTCTCTATGCCTACTCACAAATACACACATACACACACACAAATAGACACACAGATAAAAGCGTGTGTTGAATTTCATGTGCATATGGAAACAAACAAATAAGAAGGAAAAAACCAAACGGTATTTTCAGATAAGCGAATAATTTTGTTTAAATAGTGCTTTTCAACTGTTGTTATTGTTCCCTTTTTTACAAAGTAGATATATATATATAAATACATATATTTCTTTATTTACAATTAAAAAAGGATGATGTGAGATTGATTACAACCTTTGAAACGGCTGACTACTTCGAATCGTTTAAAAATATGCGTATAGCAATATGTATCTGCCAACTACGCTTACTAGTAATAGTTTTTAAAAATCAATTTTTACAGTTGATTTCACTTACTTACTTCTGCTCAATTCTACTCAAAATAATTGTGAAAATAATCATTATTTCAATTAAATATGTCTTACTCTATATATGTCAGTCAGATGATGTAGTCATCTGTGTAGAGCAGTATTTAAAGTGGGAGTGTACATTATATATAGTATGACTGGAAAACACCCCCGCCCCAAAACAATAAGCTGTTGGCAGGCATACACTGTACTATCAATCTTCATAATATGATATATTATCACAAGACAAGAAAAACACACAAAATTGACTGAATACCTGACCGATTGATTAGTTGATTTTCATAAATCAAAAGATTGTCTTATTATTTATAGATATTTACACTATATACGTGCAATTGAAAAAAACAAGTTTACCGCTTCGTCTATGAATTCATAAAAAACTGCATATGTATATATATATATATAAGGTTATCTTTCCAGTTTGCGAATCAATCCACTATTAATTATTATTTTTTTCAATTAGACATTTCTGCAAAATATTAGATCATTATAAAAAGATGAGAAGATGGCTTTCAAGTCAATAATTTAACTCTAGAGAAGTTTGCCCCTTTTCAGATTTATTTTTCTCTCCAAGAAACGGTTTTTACAAAGTATCCCGCTTAGGGCCTAACTCTTGCATGATCTGAGTGTTGGTTTAAGCTGAAAATGAGAGAGATTTCGATAGATCCCTAGAAAACTGCAGCACTGGACCGTGTATACAGTCTGAACAACCACTACATATATGATCCCAACTAACTGTTTCGTAAACTTTTATCACCAGTTTATCCTAAGACCATGTAGTGTTGATGTCAGACAAAAGTTACACTACGCCAGAGGGTTATCCACTATGGATACCTAAATACAAGTATCTCACAAGACCAGCTAAAGAGATCATTGAAAACCAGACAGTGTGCACTCACGACCCCACTAGGGGTCGGACCCGGGACCCTCCGGTCACAAGACTAAGGCACTTCAGGGGTGACAAAGTCGGTGAATTCCAGCTCAAGTAACTGATTGGTGAACGAACGTAACCTGAAGGTCTCAGGTTCAGTCCGTGGTAGGGTCGTTGGTGCGCACTACCAAAGAGTCCAAAAAAAACAACGAAACAGTGCTCCCTGGTTTTCAATAATATGTCTAGCTGACGTTGGTTCGTGAAGAAATTTAACCACTTCATTTAATCCAAACCCCCGAAAACCTAATAATCTGACAGGACAGCTAATATTATTATTTTTCTCTCTAGCTTTGCTCACATAGATCGCATCCGGAATACAGTTAAAGATGATTTCTCGCAATAGCTGAATAACTCAATATCATAAGTGGGTTTAATAAATATCTTAATGCCTAATAGGGTCTTAAATGTTCAAATCAGGCGTCTAGAATCAGATGAGATTCGTTCATGCGGTTGATGAGGACTATATATTGGCAAGTAGCATAATGTGGAAGGCTTTCTAAATCATAATTTATTACTACCCACCAAAAATTTCTGGGACAGTCATCTTCAATATGCTACCTGGGGTTCCCTGTCTTCTACTGAGGCCTGACCTCAAATAGACCCTGATGAAATCAACTAGCAACAATATAGATATGTTCAAAATTGTGGACAGTGATCCTGTTTTTTTAAATTCTAGGTCTGTCCTATATTTTTTAACCACATTTCACTATTGAGTTTTCTTTCCTTGTCTTAAAACACACCGAATCCTTCGATTATATGTTCGCTTAACTGTGTTCCTTATTACTTCTTTCCAGAAAAGATCTAGCTACTTCAAACACCATACTGTAGTCCTCTCACACTGATAATTTCTGATTTTCTAAAGTTACCGTAATTGTCACCCTAAAC